TTTACTCTTTTTGACATGAAATAGCATTTTGTCTGTATTTTTATGGTTTAGTGAACTGTGAATCTTAGTGCTGCAAATTAAAGCAAATTGTAGCTCTGTCAGACAGATATCTCATATAGAGATGATTTTTATGTCTATTTAAATAGCAATGAAGCCATTCTCTTTTTGTATCATGATGCATTTCATGGAAAATGAATACGTGTCTTATAGACATGCTGTCATACTTTCTGATGTTTTTATTTCACTAAGTATTGAAATAGTAGAAAATGGAACTCCTAGAAAATGGAATTCCTAGAATTAGAGGAATGTGAGGTACTTCATGATATCACATCAATCTATAAGAAGCTTTCCAAATTCAAAGAAGCTACTCAAATAAAATTAATAATAATGTTTAAACCATTATTAATAATAGATACAGAGCTAGGCTATTCCAGTCCATCTGACCTAGATGATGAATTCAGATACATTTAACAATGAACTTTGCCTTGTCATGTATCATACTGTAGTGAATAGCAGCTAGAAGATGTCACACGAAAATGAAGGTGATAACATAAATCTTCTAGAAACTAAGTTTACCTAAGACTACTTAATAATCTGAGACTCACTCAGCCTTAGCAGCATCTGAGCAGTATGACGAGTGCCACAGACCCAGATATTTTGATCAGTAAGAGCTGAAGAGATGCAGAACTTTTTCATTCATTTTCAATGTCAGAACTCCCCTTCTTTTCTGTCTTTCTTTTGTCTGGCTTTGTCGTCTCTGTCAGTTTCTTTCCCCCATGAGAATTTTGTTTGAAAACGTGTGCCTAAAGTTAAACTCCCCTGAAGTGAGTTTTGCAACATTTGAACTTCTAGATCACTTTGGGGCAGGTTTTCCAAAGAATTCAGCTTGTGAAAATTGCAAATGGAAGGATAGTGGGATTTTCAAAAGCACTTAAACAGATAAGGCACTTAGATCCCATTTAAATTAATTAGCTGGATTGAGCAAGTTCCCTCTGGCACTTTTGAAAGTTCCACTGCTAAGTGTTTATGTCTACATAAAAACCCGTGATTTTCAGAAGAGGCTGAGCATCCAGCAGCTCCCTTTCAAGTTTATGGGTATTACAGGTTTTCAATAGTTCTGAAAATTACACAATGTGCCTGACTTTATGTTCCCAGATGATCCTGTGTCACTTTCTTGTTTCTTAACAGTTTCTACTGTTATTTATTGTCTAAAGCTAATCTCAGAGAAAAAGCGGGATCAATAGTACTATAACCCAAGGATAGAAAAATAGTGACACAAGTGAATCTTCTGCATCGATTTGAAAAGCTGGTTCCTTTGGTACATACATTCAGTGACTGAAAAAAACATTGTTGTAATTATGTCTTTTACTAGATTTCTTATTACATTCATATTATGCAAAATAGCTCAAAAGTACATTACAAGCAAACAGCGCTGCTGGTTATGGATAGTCTTTAATTGCTGCAGAAATCCTTAGCAGACCTGTTCGGATAGAGGAATAGTTCCCCCTGCCCTTTACTCTGCCTCTATTACAGTAGTGTCTAAATAGCAGTCTGAAGGTGTACACATATTAGCATTTTGGTTTCAATCAAGAGTCTGCATTTGAATTGAATCCACTAATTATTCCCACTTAGCACACTTGCTTATTGTAGAGTGGGTCTCAGGCTGTGTGAGCTGGATTGCTTTTGGCTGAAATGAAAACTGAAGATGCTTTCCAGAAGGACATCTCATTTTCTTTAATCGTTACCAGGTTTTCAGTCTGCTGAACTACGTCAAAATTAGTTCAATATAACCTTCCTTCCTAGACTGTAATCTCAAATACTGAGCAATGTGAACATCAAGTCCTCAAAGCCAACACCTTTGCTCCACAGATCTGCCCTTACCGTGCCACATTGCTTGTTAATTAACTATAAATTGAGTTGTCAGGATGGTTGCGTTCGCAGGAGAAACCCATCTTTACACCCACTTCCAGATTTAAAACCCTACAATGCCAGAATCTCAAATTTGCGAGTATCTTAAAGAGGATCTCTAATTTCAAACACCGGCCAACATTTCTTGGGAATATATCTTCTTTGTTAGATAGAAAATGAAATAAAAAACTCATGAGCAAGAACTCATAACATTTTTATTAAGATCTTTTTCAGAAATGTAGGTCAACCTAAATGTAACTGTAGGTTTTGCCTAAAAAAAGTAATCCAGAAAAGACAGATTGTGAGACATAACTTCTATACCTTGTAAAATGCACCTGCACCAGCCATTCATTCTGGTTATTCTCTACATTGATTTAGAACTTTTTATGCTTTCAGAGTCTATTCTTGTTTAAGTTGTTCCATTGGTAACAGCTAATGGTGATTATATTCCTAATTAATTTTTTAAAAAAAGACTGAAGTTTGTTTAGCCTTCATAACCCTATACTGCCATGCTGGAAATTATATCTTGTGTAGTTTATGCGTATGATGTACTAGAATGAAAAACATAATATGAATCTTTACCAGTGACTTTCAGAAATAGGAGTTTATTATCTGTTGTTGCATAATCTGGGATGCGTAACCTGAGGCACTCTAATGTATTGCCGACCAGGAAGAGTTTTTAAGCATATTTTTAGTCAATTAAAGCACTGTCAAGACAAAAGTATGTGAAATCATAAGTAGCTGTGCAATAAAAAGCTTTTTTTTTTCTTTTCTCTTTTATTAAGGTGGAAACTCTGAAAGACACAAAGGAATTCTGTGTACCTATCTAAGCTGTGGATTCACAATACAGTAAATGTGGCTTTAGGATGCTTGATGCCAGATAAGAAACACTGTAACCTCATGGTATTAAATGCTGATCTGGTATAAACTCACTTTACTAGTTCAAATGTGTTAAAAATATCGGACACGTTAGCTTTATCCTGTTAGGCTTCCTGCCAGATTAGATATTGCCTATCCATGCCATTCTAAGTTTATGCTGGATCAGGCATTGTGTACTCTCCTGGTGATTCTGTATTGTGTGCTCTAATCTGGCAAATATACAGTACTGTTCTTTTTTGAGTCATCCCAAACTTATCCACAGATCTGGATTAATGACCATGGCCTCCTGTTGCCCCCACTATCACAGTATCTGACTAAAACACAAGCTTTGATGTATTTATTCTCCTAACAACACTGTGAAGGAGAATATGTCTTTGCTATCACACTGATTTCATCATAACTTTTTCTCTCTCTTGTCTAGTAGATGAAACAGCAGGGGTTATGCAGGCTTTGAGAATTTCAGTGATTAAAACCAGGAGATTGTAAGAGAGGTGAATATTTTCTTAGAGTGTCAAGTGCTCTGCTAGGGCTCTATCAAAGCTGTTTCATGCAACTGGATTATTCTTATGGCTTTTAGGAAGCTAATTACTTAAATGATTTCCTTTAGGATAGTCACCAGATGCTGCATTTTGTGTAATTAGCACAGTCCTTGATATAAAATATGATTCAATTCTGTAGGTTCGGGGGCAATCCAAACCTCATTGAAGTCCTTGAGTGACTCTGGGAATTCACACAGCTGGTCGTATGAGCGAGTCTCTTGTCTCCTCGTTACTGTGTGGTCCCTTGTTTGCCCCATTGAGTGGTGAATAACAGCAAAGTCCTATGCTGTGCAGAAGAGTGGTCAGAGGAGACAAAGAGTCTGTCTGCTTGCTGCTGCTGTATTCACCCTGCGCGGCGCCATAACCAGTGCTTCGGAGCTCCGAGGAAGGCAAATGAGGCCAACAACATTACATTGTGATTTTCTCTCCAATCTATTGAAAAACTGCTGGAAAAATAAACTGTTAAGGCCAAAATTATCCTTCTTGATAAGCTGTCCTCATTCTGTCCTCCTCCAGAAGGAACTGAAAACATTCCTGACACGTGAAGTTTTGTTACTGCTGTTTCACTTATAAATAAAGCCTCCAAATTAAACAAAAATGCTAAGCACTTAATAGGCAAGAACAAGGCAAATCCTTTGTCCTTGAGTGTTTACCCCCTAACAAAGGAATGAAAGTTGGAGCATGGCAGCAACACAGAGTGATTCTGCTACCTATGAGTAGCTCTTTGCTCCCATCCACTGCTCTGGTTCACTCAGTGTGACCTCTTGCAAAACATGGTTTTACTGAAGGTGGGCTAAGGAGATCTGGGACCAACCTGAGTGATAATTTTAAGCAGGAGATGCTTTAAATCCATGAGTTTCCTATTCAGATTTTATTTGGAGAGCATGCAAGAAGAACAGATAAGAGGATGAAAAAAAGTATGTTTTGTTAATGTGCTGCTGTGGAGAAATCTTGGATTTCCAAAACAAGACTGCATTGTGTACGTCTGTTCTGTATTGCAAAAAGATCCTTGGACTTTTTTTAAATCAGGAGGACTAAAGTAGTAGCCATGGCATCTTTTTCCATTATTTATTCAGAAAGCAGTTTATACTCATTTTTATCTTCTAGAAATGTAAACAAAGCACTCTTGTGCATTTTGAAACTTAGGAAGTGGAAAAGTATAAAATATCCAGGTTCATGGAAGAGGTGGCATCACAGAGCTTTTTTCTGGCAGTCTTTGTTCTGCCGGAGCTGATGCAAGGAGATTTTAATCTATTTCTTTACTGTATCAGAAACTTATCTGAAACTCTCGTAGCCTTATTTTGTAATTAAATGTTTGAGAACTACTGGTGTTTATATTTGCATGTGATTAACTTTTAAAGCACTGTGTACAGGGTTTCTTGCTTTTAAACTAGCCTGGAGTCAATAAATATCTTTACAGACGTCAATTTGGTCAGCAGTAAAGAGGTAAATAGAAACTAATGACACTCATCAAGCCTGTGGCATGAATGATTTATTGGACACAATCATTTAACACTTTCATAAAGTCAATACAAGGGAAAGAAACAGGTTTCTTATTATGGTAAACTGTATTTGTACTGTCAGCATGTAGTGATTTATGACAAACCCGTGGCCAGGATTAGGATATTATAAATGGGGGAAAATAGAAGGCTCATTAATTTTTTATACCTGCAGGTAGAAGACATGCAGTGGGCTAACAGACAACGCACTCATCCAGCATCTGTCTGCAGCCTGCCCTGTAAAGCCGGGGAAAGAAAGAAGACGGTGAAGGGAGTGCCCTGCTGCTGGCACTGCGAGCGCTGTGAGGGCTACCATTACCAGGTGGACGAATTCAACTGCGAACTGTGCCCCATTAACAAGAGACCCAATGCCAACCGTACAGATTGCCAGCTCATCCCTATAATCAAACTGGAGTGGCATTCTCCTTGGGCCATCGTGCCCGTCTTCATAGCTATTCTCGGTATAATTGCCACCACCTTTGTGATTGTGACATTTGTCCGGTACAATGACACGCCAATCGTCAGGGCCTCTGGACGGGAGCTCAGTTATGTGCTCCTGACTGGGATTTTCCTCTGTTACTCCATTACTTTTCTAATGATTGCGAGTCCTGATACAGTGGTCTGCTCGTTTCGAAGGATCTTCTTAGGCCTTGGCATGTGTTTCAGCTATGCTGCCTTGCTTACCAAAACAAACAGGATTCACAGAATATTTGAACAAGGTAAAAAATCTGTCACAGCTCCCAAATTTATTAGTCCAGCTTCCCAGCTGGTGATCACTTTCAGCCTCATATCCGTGCAGCTGATTGGAGTCTTCATCTGGTTTGCTATTGATCCACCACATACCATCGTAGACTATGGAGAGCAGAGGACACTTGAACCAGAAAATGCCAGGGGAGTTCTCAAATGTGACATTTCAGATCTTTCTCTCATTTGTTCCCTTGGATACAGTATTCTCTTGATGGTCACATGCACTGTTTATGCTATTAAAACAAGAGGGGTTCCAGAGACCTTCAATGAAGCAAAACCCATTGGATTTACTATGTACACAACCTGCATAATTTGGTTAGCTTTTATTCCAATCTTTTTTGGTACGGCCCAATCAGCAGAGAAGGTAAGTGATGATAAGTTTACAAATCAAATACTACCCTCTTTTTATTTTCATCTCACAATACTTGTAATACTACAGTATTTGTACTTTTAAAAATGAGTAATTCTGAATGCTAATTGCAAACAAACTCTCAGAATTCACAGGTGATAAGATATATGATTCAGAAGGTAGGTTTCCTGTACTTTAACACAGGAAACTGAATGTGGCTGTGGTGTGGCTGACATAATGATGTTGATATTTTCTCAATATATCCTTAAATGACTGTTTCTTCTAATGTTTATTGTTACCCTTCAGTGATACTCTAGTCTGTTACATGAAGCACTATAAATCTTTGTTATCATCCATAGATCTGATAGAAATAGTTGCTTTTCAAAAGTATATTTGTCAAAAATAACGAAGAAGAATGCCTGGGCAGAATGAAAAGAATTACTTTTCTATCTGGATGACACCTGTAACTTAAAAAAAAAAAAAGAAGAATATGAGGAGTGAATGGAGTGTATCTCAAATCATATAAAGTCTAATTCAGTAATTATTATCTCAGAGCAAAAAGAAAACATTTCACTGATCTTTTAATGAGAAATTAAACGTTGCCTACTTGGATATCTGTTACTTCTTGTTCAATTGCATGGCTCTTTCCTGATATCTGTCAAGGTGAGCAGTACAAAACATGTTAGACATTTAACTCTCCTCCTCTCAGTTCTAATGCGAAGGTAGAGATAAATGTCAGCTGTGTGAGTTTTTATCCAACTGATAGTAATGAAAATCACAAGTTAGGCAGGAAAGAGCAGTAATACCAGCTTCAATCTTCAAAACCACAAATCTTAGAGATTTGGAATATCTTGAAAACAAGAAATTGAAGTAATTGGTCTCTTACATAAATTCTTTCACCTTTTCCTCTAAGAGGCAATTTAAAAAACGTCTTAAAATACACATTTTTATTTAATGGATTTATTGGAAAAGTCAACGTGTGTCATAAGTGTCCGCTTATAATAGTGCACAGGTTTGGGATGTCTCTGGTTTATAGAGCACTCTTGCCTGCAGAATTGAAGAATAAGTCTGTATAGCTTGATACAATACCTGTTAATTCAAGCAGAGGAATAGTATGGAGGAGAGAGTGTGACAGAAAAAACATTTTCCTCACTAAAAATTGAAGTAAGCAGGCTTGCTGAATTGGATCAGACTTGATTTCCATGGCCTTTTGGATTAAGTCAAGGGAAGTGAGTACCAAGGTAATGGCGTATCACAGACACAGTAAGTAAAGAGAAAAAATCCTATTTGATATAGGAAGACTTGTTTAGGTGAATTGTATTTAAATTGACTTTTCTGTATCTGCAAGCTTAGGTCAGAAAAATACTTTGATATATAAATGTGTGGTACTTTTTGTTTTCACGGCTTAGGCCAGTCAGTTTTACGGCAAGTACCTATAACAAAAGGAATGTATTTCTGAGTATTGAAACACAGAATATGTTACTTGACTGGCAACTATACAGTGAGTTTTCATTTACACCATTGGTTCACCTTAGCTTGTAGGATGATTTTGGTTTTGACCTCTAAAGACAAGATTAGTGAACACTTATTTTGCATTTCTTTTATGAAACACATGACTGAACACACAAATTATACTAAATTGCAGAGCTTCTAACACTAAATTTCACTTGTTAGTTGCCTTTTTTTCCTAAATGATTTGTTATTCTTCAGATAACAACTTTCAGGAGGGAAAAAAAAAAACAAATTAATATGCTAATACAGTAGCGCTGTAATTCAAATACTTCTTTTCACACTGCTTCTACTTTTACTGCAAATAAAAATGTGTTTCCACACAGAGTCTTATAGACATCATCATGATAGCTTGTGCATTCATACAATTACATTGCTTGTCTGAATAGGACAAAAGTGTAGTATCTCAGCATATGCTTATATACACTGTCTGAATAAACTCAAAGTTGTTTGTAGGCTTCTCAGTTAATGCGTAACACCAAAAGAAGCATTTTAAAACCAAACTAGTACGTTATAGAATATCTTATTTGAAGTTTGTTATTTTGATCTTCTTTGATGATGAAAGAAATGAAAGAGAAAATAAACAGACTTTTGTTAGGCGCTTACTGACTTTGCAGTTGGTTTTAGAATCCTGACATTATTATTTTTATGGCTTGAGTTTGTTCAGAGAGAATGGAACAATAAGCTGGGGAACTTGAAGTACTATTTCAAAGCAATGGTTCCTTTTTTGAAATGTTGATGGTAATTAAATTTAACATAGCATTCATTACCAGCCAGGTGTACTTCCAATTAGCAATTCATTGAACTACTATCTTTAGGCGCACTTCTTTTTGAATAAAGAGTAGTTAAAACTTCTGCAAAATGTTTTGAGGAACTTCTGTATTCCTAAACATTAGTAGTGCTTACTACCATAGTAGAAGTCATTATGCATTTTTTTGAAACAGAGGTTATATTTCCTTAATTAACTATTCCATGGACACAGATTAAGTAGAAGCATATCGAGAAGCTTTTATTTTTATTTCTCTGTCAAAATATTTCTACCGATAAACAAAAAAAATAGGACTGTTAACACTAAAAACAGGTGTCTAGATCCAAAACTCATGTCATGGTGTCGTGGTTTTAGGCTGATCTAGCAA